TGGTGATCAACATCTCGGGGCTGCGCTTTGAGACCCAGCTGAAGACGCTGGCTCAGTTCCCCGAGACGCTGCTGGGGGACCCGCGGAAGAGGATGCGCTACTTCGACCCCCTGCGCAACGAGTATTTCTTCGACCGCAACCGCCCCAGCTTTGATGCCATCCTCTACTACTACCAGTCGGGCGGGCGCATCCGGCGGCCCGTCAACGTCCCCATCGACATCTTCTCCGAGGAGATCCGCTTCTACCAGCTCGGGGAGGAGGCCATGGAGAAGTTCCGGGAGGACGAGGGTTTCATTCGGGAGGAGCAGCGGCCGCTTCCCGACAAGGAGTTTCAGCGCCAAGTGTGGCTCCTCTTCGAGTACCCTGAGAGCTCCGGGCCGGCCCGAGGCATTGCCATCGTCTCTGTCCTGGTCATCCTTATCTCTATTGTCATCTTCTGTCTGGAGACCCTGCCTGAATTCAGGGATGACCACGACTATGAGGGAACTGGGGGGACCTTTGGGACGGGCGGTGCCCCACTCCCACCTGAAGTCTTCACCAACTCCTCGTCCTCGGCTACTTCCATGGTGTCATCCTTCACTGACCCTTTCTTTGTGGTGGAGACTTTGTGCATCATCTGGTTCTCCTTCGAGCTGCTGGTCCGTTTCTTTGCCTGCCCCAGCAAGGCCACCTTCTCCAAGAACATCATGAACATCATTGACATTGTGGCCATCATTCCCTACTTCATCACTCTGGGCACTGAGCTGGCAGAGAGGCAAGGCAATGGCCAGCAAGCCATGTCCTTGGCCATCCTCCGAGTCATCCGCTTGGTTCGGGTTTTCCGCATCTTCAAGCTCTCCCGGCACTCCAAGGGGCTGCAGATCCTGGGGCAGACCCTCAAGGCCAGCATGCGGGAGCTGGGCCTCTTGATATTTTTCCTCTTCATCGGCGTCATCCTCTTCTCCAGCGCCGTTTACTTCGCCGAGGCCGATGACCCCAGCTCGGGTTTCAGTAGCATCCCCGACGCCTTCTGGTGGGCCGTGGTGACCATGACCACGGTGGGCTACGGGGACATGCACCCCATCACTATTGGGGGCAAGATCGTGGGGTCTCTCTGTGCCATTGCGGGGGTGCTGACCATCGCCCTCCCCGTGCCTGTGATAGTCTCCAACTTCAATTATTTCTACCACCGGGAGACAGAAGGTGAGGAGCAAGCCCAGTACATGCACGTTGGGAGCTGCCAGCACCTCTCGTCCAGCGAGGAGATGAAGAAGGCTCGCAGCAATTCCACCCTCAGCAAGTCCGAATACATGGTCATCGAGGAAGGGGGGATCAACCACAGTGCATTCAAACAGGCTGCCTTCAAAGCAGGCAACTGCACAACCACAAACAATCCCAACTGTGTGAACATCAAAAAGATCTTCACGGATGTTTAAAAAAAAAAAAAAATCCCAAACCAAACAAACAGCAACAGAAACCTGAGGATGCGGTAAAATGATACCAATAATGACAATAACAATAATGATGCAAAGTGACTGTGTGTCGGTGTTGTGTGGAACATGCACCATCGTCGGTCTGTGTGTGCCCTCGTTTTTGATATGGGTTTTTTTTTTTAGATCCTTCCTTTCTAAAGATCCAAAAATAAAAGGATTTAAAATTCTCCAAAGAAGAGGACGGCTAAAGGGTAACGAGACAAGGAATATGAAGACAAACCACACTCACTGTCGAAACAGATGTTCTGCAACGTGTTGCAGGGCAGCTTTGCTTTGTGGGGTTCTGGGGATCCTCTCGCTTTGCTCCTGAATTTCCTCCCCCTTTCCCTGAAGGCAGCGTGGAGCCGATTTCCCTGCCGTCACATAAGCTCAGTTGTTGGATTAACAACCCCGGGCTGGGTGGGGGAATGAGGAAAACATGTAGCCGAGAGCACTGGGAGGGGGTTGGGAGGAAACAACCGTTTAATTTTGCAGAGAGTCTCTGTTACCACGTCGTTAAACAATGCTTTATATTGAATGCTGTGATGTGCCATTACGGGCACATCACAGATTCCATTTTTTTTTTTTCCCATTAGACTGTTGATGAAATTCTAATCTGGTCAGAGACGGAGTGCAATCAATGCTGATTTAAATAGAAAAAAACCCCAACCCAGAGCCCTTGTTTTTCGTTCTTAGTTCCCTTCCCGTGTCACCTGATGGAATTACTCCATCCAGTTTTGATCTGTGCAGAGGGGCTGCGTGTGGGGAGGAGGGAAGGGAAAGGCACAATGCAATGGTTTTGGTTCACTGCCAGTGAGGACCAGGGGATGCAGGATCATCTCTGGGCAGCCTCCAAACCCACCCAGCCGGAGACAAAGGGACGTTTCCTCCTTTTTTTGCAACGCTTTTGGGAGAGATGCAGCCTCTTATCGCAAGGAGATTAGAGCGGCGAACACGCCTTCCAGCGGAAGTCACTGATTCCAGCCAGGAGTGATGCAGTTGCCATGGCGACCCTGGTTTCCTGGGAAACCCCAAAAGGTTGTCATGGCATCCCTGCTCCCATCCCCCTTGGTCCTCGCTCTTCCTGCAAAAGAACCTTTTTCCAGATGGTTCCAGCCCTGCCATCCCGCAGGACATCGTGGCTTCACACCCCCTTCCTGGGCCACGGCCCCTGTGCCCAATAAGGCCCCCCCAGGCAATAAACACCTCCAAACCCACCTGTCCCTTGCTGAGGAGCAATTTTGGCAGGGAAATCTGGGGATGGAGGTTCATCCTGCTCCACCAAGAATGATTCCAAACCCAGTGGGAAACGGTCCTGAGCGGGGAGCTCGGCTGGGAAACCTCAGCAGCTCTGGGAGACAAGGGGGACAGGAGAGAGCAGGACTGAAAAATAACCAAAAACCCCACCAGGGAAAACTCACCACCTTCATCTTCACGTGTGCACCAGGGGCCACGGGACATCTGAAGGGATCAGGTGAGCTTCGCACGGGACACAGTTTAACGGAGTCATAAAGGAATGTTGCTTTTTTGGGGGACAAACCCCATGCTTTCCACTGCTTACTTTTATTTTCCAGCCTATCCTGCTGCTCTTGGGTATTTTTATAAATTTTAGATGAAGTGGGATCACTTCCTATAGCTCCTCTGATTGTATTTGCTGTTCACTTTACTTTTTAGTGCTGTGGCAGGAGGGAGTCTCTGCTGCTTCTCTGCAGCTGGATTTCTTCAATTCTGTGCTAAAAAAGGTGGTTTTCAGTGGTTTAATGCTTCCAGCTCCAGGCTGCTCAGCCTTGAGGACCTTGGCTCTGACTCTCCTCAGTTTTGCTGGATTTTGGGTTAAAGAAAGCCAAATTCCTTTGGGGTAGCACACGGCAAAGAGAGACTTCTGGCCCCAACCTGTGCAAGCAACACTTTTCCCAAGGGTGTGGAGTGGGAGATATGTCCTGAGAGATGCCAGCCATGCCAAAATCAGAGTTTAGCTGGGACTTTATCCCAATTTTAAAGGATCTGGACAGTTTGTAACACTCTCCCTTAGCCCCAAGAAAAACATCACAGCAGCTCCTGGTGTGTGATGGTTTTATTGGAGCTTCTGTAGTTTTCATCAGCTGAGGGTCAGACAAATGATCTTTATTAGGAAGATGCTCTGGAGCATTACAGCAAGTTACAAACCTGAGTTCCCTTATCCAGGGTAACTGGAATTCCTTGTCTGGGATAACTGGGAACACCCCAACTTGCCTTTTGCCCAGGCTGCCAGTAGGCTGAAATATCATTTCTGCCTATGAGTTCTCCCTTTTTGTTGTTATTAACTTTTATTGTTACTAA